GAGTTTGAAAAGTACCATGGGATTTGGAAAGCAGTTCTGTTCTGCCCTGGTGATATGCCTGTTTTTAGTAGAATTATCATGGGAATACACTATTTCCCTAGATCAGTGATGGCGAACCTATGACACGCATGTCAAAGGTGACACACGAACTCATTTTTTGGTTGATTTTTCTTTTTTAAATGGCATTTAAATATATAAAATAAATATCAAAAATATAAGTGTTTTACTATGGTTGCAAATATCAAAAAATTTCTATATGTGACACGGCACCAGAGTTAAGTTAGGGTTTTTCAAAATGCTGACAAGCCGAGCTCAAAAGGTTCGCCATCACTGCCCTAGATTGTAGTCCTGAACATTGAAAGAGATGGTACTGACCTAAAGGGGGTAGCTTAGTTGAGTCAGAAGGTCCTTATGTCTGAAGTATCAAGATCAGTTACTAGGGATATAGGGCCTTATCCAAGAGCAGAAAGGAGATTTATATACTGCAGGCAAAAATTCATGCTCTGAACCTTTCAGATAATATTCTGTAGTCCCCAGTAAGTAGCCTATGATTTTTCAGTTAGGGATTTTGGCCTTAGAACATTACATAAGGATTTGGTTGAACCTAAACAAGATGAGCAGTTGAGTATTTCCTTATGACAAGTTTATGTCTCATTTAAAAAATATTTAGTTGTGTACATAAAATATTCCTATATTTAAAAAAAATCTAATGTCTTATTTCTTGACCATAGATTTTGTTGACTTCCTTGATGTTAATTGGGAGGCTAATGAGATTTTTAAACCTGTGGAACAGTAGCATTTTTCTCAGGTAGTGGGTAAATGCTCAGCCTAAAATGTACCGTGTGGTTATCTGTATGGTAGAAGAACTGATCAAATAAAGAATAAGATGATGGTTCTCAAAGTGTGGTCCAAGTGGAGCTCCCATGACTTCCTCAGGGGTTCCGTGAGATCCTCCTTCTTCCAGTGACATGTTCAAGGCTGGATTCACTATATGTACTTCAACCGATACATGTTATAGCAGATTGAATGTAGAATCATATACGAGAGTCCAGTTGTTTTCTATTAAGCCAAACATTATTGAAATTTGCAAAAATGCAAAACAGTGCTACTTTTTTCAGTATATTTATTTCTTTATTGTTTGGGGGGGGTATAGTTGTTTTTTTAATTTATAAAATATAAGCTAGTATGCTTATTATTTTAAGAGAAATACAATATTTTAAAAATTCTCTTTTGCTTTCTAATAGAGTAAATGTTGATAGACATAGCCCACAGAGATAAGCTCCTTATGGGCCTCAATATTTTTCAAGAGTATAAAAAGATTCTGAGACCAAAACGTTTGTAAACCACTGGAGTAGGGCATCTCTGAACTGTGGAATTATTACCACTCTCTTTTTCCACTACCAGCACTTCTTTTTTTGCCAACCCACATTTTTTACTTTAACATTTTCTTTTTTTACTTTTAAAGACAGTATTATCTTTTTAGTATATTTTAAAATCAGAAATAGATCCTTGGGGCTTAAAGTTGGGATGGTAGCATATTGATATTTCTTAATAATTAAAATATGATGAGGACATTTATTCCAGAATATTCTTTCTACATTCTTTCCCCCTTTTCCCGTCTGTATTTAATAGCGGAATGAACTGAGCAGCACAGACACTCCAAACATAGCAAAATGGCAACCAGGCAATGATGATGATATTTCTTCCCCAGAGATTTCTGGCAGATTTTGAGTTTTCTGTCTATAAACAATAGATTATCTTGGGGAATGAATTTCTAACTCTTTTTTTTCTGTTTTATACTTATGAGCCTAAATTAATATTTTAGTTTTGCTTGTACAATTATGATCTGTTAAGGGATATTTTGAGGCATGGGCTTTTCTTGGCTTTGTCCCAGGAAAAAATGCCAATAGTGATTGTCTTTTAGATTTTTTTAATAGTGAAAGGATTCTTGATTTTGAAATTTGAAGCTTGTTAACTTCTAACTTTTACTATTAACTGAACAAATTTTACAGATTAATGTTAGAGAGATGGTAAATGTCTTAATCCCACCATTTCTTTGCAGGTGTATATGTGCCTATGCGTAGGAAAGGGCTGGAAGAGATTGCTGTGTCTTTAGAATTTAAATTTAAATTGAACTCATTAATTTAGAGGAAATTCAGATTCAACAAGTATTAAATGTGCACCTCCTTGGCTCTGTTAGCAATGAGCAAAATAGACTATAGATTTTGCTACCATCATGATTACAGTCTAGCCAAAACCGGTTTGGCTCAGTGGATAGAGCATCGGTCTGTGGACTGAAAGGTCCCAGGTTCGATTCCGGTCAAGGGCATGTACCTTGGTTGCGGGCACATCCCCAGTAGGAGATGTGCAGGAGGCAGCTGGTCGATGTTTCTCTCTCATCGATGTTTCTAACTCTCTATCTCTCTCCCTTCCTCTCTGTAAAAAATATCAATAAAATATATTAAAAAAAAAAAAAAAAGAAAGAAAGATTACAGTCTAGTGAGGCAAGCAGATATCCAAAAGCACACGGGTATGAATAAGTAATTATTAATTATGATAAATGCAGTGGGTGAAAGTTAACAGTGGTACATGAGAGTGTAAAGAGGGCATCTGAGTGTAGGCAAGCTTCTGGAAGGAAGTGAATTTAAGGTGAGACTTGAGGGATGAGTAGGAATTTGCCAGGTTGGATCCTGAAAGAAGGGCCCAAGCACAGGAGTGTCTTGTACACAAAGGTCCCGAGATAGGCAGGAAGCTGGCTGCAGTGCCTGGGAAAATGGGGTGGTGAGGGGCCAGTTGTGAGAACTAAGGGTAAGGGGCCTTGAAGGCAATGAATATAGAGAGGTGAGGAGAAGGCTTGCTAGGGCTTACCCGGATATTACCGAGGTTTGATGCTGGCCTACCTCCAGTCTTCTTGGGTTTTCTCCTCTTTCTTTATAACTCTTTTCTCTAGGCTCTCTGCATCCTAGCCTGGTGTGTGTGTGTGTGTACTTCTCAATATATCTTAAGTCCTGAGGACACACCTTGCTTGCCCTGGCCATAGGGTCTCTATGGAAACTGACAAGCTGTATCTATTTCCTTAAATGCTACCTGTCTCCAACACAGGGTGTACCCACCCCAATTCTCTCTCTCTTTAACCTCTCTTTCTCTCTCACACACACACCCAGGCTTATCCTTTTTCTAGTCTGGTTTTTATTTGGATATAACCTTCCCAGGGAAGTTCCTCCATCCTTCAGGAAGTCTCAAGTTGTTTTGTTAGCGCTCATGTTTAACCATGGTTTTTTGTGTTGTTTTTTTTTTACATTTAATCCAGTATTTAATTATACAATCTTTTGGATGATTATTTGATTACCAACATAGAGAGTAAGCTTAGTGATAGTAAGAACCATGCTTATATCTTTACTAGAAGGCCTGGTGCATCTGTGACCAGTGGGGTCCCTCAGCCTGGCCTGCGCCCTCTTGCAATCCAGGACCCTTGGGGGGATGTCGTTCTGCTGGGTTACGCTCCGCTCTCACTCATGCTGGCCCCTCTGCTCCTGCTGCCGCCACCACCACTCGGTAGCACGCTGCCATGGAGGCTGGAGAGGCTTGTGCGGCTGCAGCTGCGCTCGCCAGCTGTGAGCCTGGTGTCTGGTGCCCCTCAGTCAGCTGAGTGGCGCTCCCGCTGTGGGAGTGCACTGACCACCAGGGGGCAGCTCCTGCATTGAGCGTCTGCTCCCTGGTGGTCAGTGCATTTCATAGTGACAAGTGAAACGGTTGTTTGGTTGCTTAGGCTTTTATATATATAGATTACTCTAAGTTTCTAAAGTCTAGTAAACAGTAGTCTCTCATTAGTTGTGGAAGGAAGGAAGGAAGGAAAAAAAGCAGGAAGGAAAGGAGGGCTGGAATTCATAGATAAAACTAAGATAGTCCAATAGTTTTAAAAAGGTTTTGATAACATGTCCCATTGGTTAAAAAGTGTTTTGAGCAGGCACCCTCAATATGTATGTTGGTTATAAGTTTTATGTAAAATAAAAACTATTATAAAACATACATAAGATAGAAATTTTAAAAAGATTAAAGATGAAATATTTAAGGGACTGCTAATGGTGATGACACCTTATTAATGAAAATCTCAGATCACTCAGGGTAATGCTTATTGTTTATGATACTGGATGTAAATCAGTTTTTAAGTATTTTTTTTATTTTGAAGTTGGGCATTCTCTTTTTCTTAAAAAATACGTTTTTATTGATTTTAGAGAGGGGAAGGGAGAGGGACAGAGGATAGAAACATCAATGATGAGAGAGAATCATTGATCAGCTGCCTCCTGCATGCTCCCCACCGGAGATTGAGCCCACAGCCTGGGCATGTGCCCTGACCCGGAATCTAACCATGACCTGCTGATTCATGGGTCAATGCTCAATCATTGAGCCACACTAGCCAGGAGGGGAGACAACTTTATGTCAGATTCAACTGAATGTTAACTGCTTTGTTCTAGTAATGTGATTAATGGAAAAACTACTTGGATGAGAGAAATCAGCTTCACATTTTCTTACTCTTCTCTACCATATTAATTAATACCATATTTAATCTGTAGTTTCTTTAATGTTTTTAGAACCCTTCCCATTGGAGGAGGGCTCATTTCATTATAACTAGCCAATTCAACCTGTAATTCTACTTAAATGGAACCTTAAAAGGATAGTACGGGGGTGTAGTCTCCACACTTTCACATTATGTCTCCCACTCTTTCTGAAAGATACCTCTTATACTAGACTGTCAACAGGAATTGTGACAGAGACCAAATAAAGGCCCAAGTTATTTATGGCTCTATTAGATAAACACATTTAATATAAGATAATATTTTTAAAATTTATTGACTGATTGTAGAGAGAGAGACACTGATTTGTTGTTCCACTTATTTATATATTCATTGGTTGATTCTTGTATGTGTCCTGACCGGGTATCGAACCCGCAACCTTGGTGTATTGGGACAACACTCTAACCAACTGATCTACCCGGCCAGGGCTGTAAGGTAAAAATTTTTGAACGTTAATTCCACAAGTCAGTGAGTTGTCTTACATGACCATTGGATACATGTACCCTTTTGGAGACAAGTGGTCTTGTGCTGGAGACAGACATAAACAATGAATTCATTCCAAGTGGTGTTAGACCACTGGGGGGTTAAAATCTGCTGACAGAGAGCTGTTCCACCAAGTGTTTGCCTTTTGAGCTAGATTATGAATGCAGGAGGAGGCAGTTGGGTAGGAGAGGGGTGGAGGAGAAGACTCAGGGCATTTGAGGCAGACGGAACCAACACAGTGTTCATGTTCATGATATGGTGTTGGAGGAATCTGGTTGTGAGGGCCAAGATGAGGTAGTTTGTATGTCACAAATAAGGGCTCACTATAGACAAGATCTACGTGAGCATGGGAATAATAACAGCAGTAAAAGGGGCTCACTCAAATTTCATGTTCTTTTAGTATAAAAGGAAGGTACACAAACACATCTCCTTTTCTCCCCTTCCTCATCTTGTTAATAGAGAAGGGAGAGGTTGAAATACAATTATGAACAAATTGGAATGAAGGCTGGTAACAGAGGATGGAGATGTGGGGAATGAACAATCAGACTACCAACCTCAGAATGTGATCTTCAGAAGATGAGTCAGGAATCCACTCTAAACTGCTTACATAGCAACAGGCTTTTGCTCTTTGCTTTGAAGCTGTAAGAGTGAGATAGCACACTAACCTATTTATTAAAGAACTTTACCCATTTTCTTCTTCTTCTTCCCCTTCCTCCTCCTCCTCCTCCTCCTCCTCCTCCTCCTCCTCCTCCTTCTCCTTCTTCTCCTCCTTCTCCTTCTCCTTCTCCTTCTCCTTCTCCTTCTCCTTCTCCTTCTCCTTCTCCTTCTCCTTCTCCTTTCCAGAAAATCACAACTAGACAAAGGTTTAATTTTTAAAAATTATTTCTTGTAATAAAGAACTCATATAACCAAACGGTCATCCTATTCCTGAAGCTTTTCAAGTTTATTCAAATGGAAAAGTTCTCTTTTGTAGTCTTTTACCCCATAACATTGATCTTTTGCCAATGTAGTTTCAGAGCAGTATCAACTTGAAATTTTTATCAGGTATCTTATTTTCTCTCAGTTATAGTTTTACATATTGCACATTTACATGATTTCTTCCTGTCTTGGTTATGTCTGTCCTCTGTTAAATTTGAGGTTGATAAAGGAAAGCATTGTTTTGCCATAGATGAGGGATATGTTGTAGGTTTGCTTTTTTCCCCTTGGGGCAGTATGAAGAGCAAGGAGAAGTAAGGCTCAAACACAGTAATTTGGCTTGAATGATTCAGTCACTTAATCTTTATCATATTGTAAGAGCAGTCTATTCATGCTTCTCAGAGGTTTTAATTTAATGCCAATTCTGCATTCAATAGGGTAAGATAAAATTCAAATCTAAGATCCTTTGGGAATGCCTAGCTTTATATAGCTGAGAACTTTTCCTGCCCCTGTTGAGTTCTTTGTAAGAGGGTAGACTCAGAGAAAATCACCTTAGAGTGGCCACCAGCAGGAGGTACATCTGATTAACTTCTTAAGATGATTTGTTTAGATCTATGTAAAGGGTATGTGTTTAAATATACTAAGAAAAAAGGCAACATATGTGAGGGGGATTTGTAAGAAAGGCCTTGAATGGCAGTTTGAAAATGGTATGCTTAATTTAACTTGTCATCCTGCAGTTAAATTTTTTGTCTTACTTATATCTCTCTTTTTCCTCCACAGTTGTACAATGGTAGATGGAGTGATGATTCTTCCTGTGCTAATGATGATGGCTTTCCCTTCCCCAAGTATGGAAGGTAAGAGGCTCACAGCTGTTTGGGTAGCTCAAAGTGTACAGTCGTGTGCCACATGATGACGTTTCGGTCAAGGACAGATAAACATATGCAATGGTGGTTCTATAAGATTATAATGGAGATGAAAGATTCGTATCACCTGGTGACATCATAGCCACCGAAAGGTCATAGTACAACACATTACTCACATGTTTGTGGAGATGCTGGTGTAAACAATCCTGCACTGTCAGTCGTAAAAAAGTTAGCACATACAATTATGTACGGTACATGGTACTTGATAATGATAATAAATGACACTCTGTTACTGGTTTATGAATTTACTATACTTTTTATCATTATTGTAGAGTGTACTCTTTCTACTTATTAAAAAAAGTTTGCTGTAAAACCATATACCTTGTCTTTACCACATCTTTTCATTGCATCATTTTCTCTTTCACTTGACTTAACCTCGTATTGTTTTTTACAGTAACACGCTGTACAGGCGGGTAGCCTGGGAGCAATCGGCTATACCACGTAGCCGAGTTGTGTAGTAGGCTATGCCATCTATGTGTGTGTGTGCATGCACTCGATGATATTGGCACAATGATGAACTCACTTAAGGATGCGTTTCTCAGAACAAACCCCCATCTGTAAGTGGTGCATGAATGTTCTGTGTATGGTTTGGCTTACTCCAAACAAGTTGTTTGTTCTTAATCCTATCAGATTTAGCACTCCTCTCCTCCCTCCCTTTATTATTTCTTTTTAAAGCTGTTTTTTAGGTTCAGAGCAAAATTGAAAGGAATGAACAGAGATTTCTCATACCCCTACACCTCCACATGCATAGCCTCTCCCATTATTAATATCCTCCATTAAAGTGGTACATTTGTTATAATTGATGAACCTATATTGATACATTATAATCACCCAAAGTCCATAGTCTACATTAGGGTTCACTCTTCATGGTGCACATTCTATGGGTTTGGACAGATGTATAACGACATGTATCCATCATTATAGTATCATACACACTATTTCACTGCTCTAAAAATTTTATGTGCTCCACCTGTTCCTCCCTTTCCCCTGCTACCCTTAAGCACTAGCCACCACTGATCTTTTCAGCCTCCATAGTTTTGCCTTTTCTAGAATGACGTATTGTTGGAATCATGCAGTGTATCGTCTTTTCAGATTGACTTCTTTAACTTACTGATAGGCATTTAATGTTCCTCCACATATTTTCATGGCTTCTTTTTTTTTTTTTTTTAAGCACTGAATAATATTCCATTGTCCGGATGTACCAGTTTATTCATTGACCTATTAAAGAAACATCTCGGTTACTTCCAGGTTTTGGCAGTTACGAATAAAGTTGCTATGAATATTGGTAGGTGGATTTTTGTGTGGGATTAGTTTTCAGCTCCTTTGGGTAAACACCAAGGATTATGATTGCGACATTGTGTGGTAGAGTAGGTTTAGTTTTGTAAGAAATTACAACCTGTCTTCCAAAGTAGTAGTGCCATTATGCATCCCTACCAGCAATGAATGAGAGTTCTTGCTGCTCCACTTCCGGCCACTATTTGGCATGGTCAGCGTTCTGGATTTTGGCCATTCAAATAGGAGTTGGTTTAATTTTCATTTCCCTGATGACATATGGTGTGGAGCATCTTTTCATGTGCTTATTTGTCATCTGTGTATCTTTTTTGATGATGTATCTGTTGAAGTCTTTGGCTCATTTTTTAAATCAGGTTGGTTGTTTCTTTATTTTTGAGTTTTTATATATTTTGGAAAACAGTCCTTTATGAGATGTGCCTTTTGCATATATTTTCTCTCAGTCTTTTGCTTCTCTTCTCATTCTCTTGATATTGTCTTTCACGGAACAAAGTTTTTAATTGTAATGAAATGTCTACCTTAATTATTTTTTCATGGATCGTGCCTCTAAAAAGTTATTGCCATGCCCAAGGTCATCTAGGTTTTCTCTTGTTACCCAATAATATTACATTATGCAAGATTACATAATGTGGGTTACATTAAATTTCTGTTGGACATTGTGTTGTAAATAATTTGGGTGTCTACTAGTATAGTGTAGGTTCCGGTGCTAAGCAATGCTGTTAAAAACATCTTACTAATATTGCAGTGATTTTAATTAGTGCCAAGAGGGTATGAAATAAAGATCCTGCATGGCAAGTTTAAAGGAATTAGAGGTGTTTTAACCAGAAGAGAGGTTGGGTCCTAGGTTGAAGGGATTAAGAAGAAGAAATGGGATGGAAAGATTTGATGGGTTAACAGTAGTTCTCAGCTCAATTATATGACCTTCCCAGGGACATTTGACAATGTCTGGAGATATGACAGCCAAGTTTCTAGAAATTTTCCTTCTCTTTTTAATTGCTAAACACTGATCACTACAATAAAAACTAAAGAATGTCGTGGAATGAAGTTCCTCCAAATTCTATGCCTTTAGTTCTGTGTGATATCAAGAAGTTCCTTTGGATTTCATTTGATTTCATGGATGTGGCATGGTCAAAAGAAAAAGAATGTGGAAGAGAAATTGAGGTGGGAATGTAGTATGAATAGAGAAGAAGTAGTGAAGGAATGAGGAAAAGAGAAGGGGAAAGGGCATTTATGGATCAATATTATCGACCACAACATTGGTTTCTTTTTCTTGCTTTTAGCTCTTAAGTTGCCCAAAGAATCTAGCAAATGTCTTTTTAATGCCACAGTAACAATCCTATATAATAAAAGCCTAATATGCTAAGTGTCCGACTGTTCGTTCAACCATTCGACCAGTCACTATGACGCGCACTGTCCACCATGGGGCAGATGCTCCGACCGGTAGGTTAGCTTGCTGCTGGGGTCTGGCCGATGGGGACTGAGCGAGACGGGGTGGACATGCCCTGGAGACCTCCCGTGGTCCCTCCCTGACCGGCCAATCTTTCCTGCTGTCCCTCCCTGGCCTCTAAAATATTTCTTCTAATTAATTTCCTTTCCATGTGCACCAATCCATGCACCAGGACTCTCGTATACAATGACACGAGTTAGTCTGGCTGAAATGGAAACAGATTACCACCAAGGTTTTGCCATTTTATCTACCACCACCTCTAGGATGTTTACAAACAAGGAAAAGAACACACATTCTTTAGTTGCAGTAGCTTTTTATTTTATTTTTTTTAAAACAGAATATCCAGTGAGTGCTACAACCGAGAGGGCTCTGATCATAATTGCAGTTGCCTTAGTCCTGTCTTCGCTCCATAACTCAACTTGTTAACTGTCAAACACATAGTCTATGAAAAGACTCTTTGTTTTTGTATATTTACTAGGAATTTTTTTAAAGCCACTGAGAACCCCTAATTGTAATACACTCTAATATACTCAACATTAGCCATAAAGCAAATCTTAAGTACAAAATACTTAACCAAAAGAGGTAAATAATAGGGCAGATACAGAAAATCTTTATACAAGCCCCATTGTCTAGTGAAGAGCTTTAGACTACCAAGTTTAAAAGGAAGCAGAACTATGTTTGATATTTACAGAGCAGCTATGATGGTCCTTATTAACTGTGCTTCATTGAAGCTGATGGCATTCTTGGGGAATAAGTAAGAAACTCATAGAGATTTTGTTCTAATATACTTTGTGTGGTAGTTACTCTTCGTTGCCTTTTAAAACAACAACAACAAGCTTTTTCTCCTTTGTCTCCCAGTGACTCCCAAATGTCTCTTAAATACTGGCTAGAAATAGTTTTATCTCTTCAAATAATAGGCCCCAAACAGTGATTTTGGTAGAATTTGGCTAGTATCAGTGTACTTTAGAACATTTCTCACATTCTATGCAATCCTAAATGCTCTGGGGCCATAAAGACCAAATAAGTTTGGAAAATACTCTTTACTATAACTGCCCCTCTGATGACTAGAAGTAATATTTAGGGAGTGGTTAATATGTGTTAAATGTTGGACTAACTTCTTTGTATGCATTATTTCCCATAATCCTCATGATGACCCTAATGAGGTAGGTTTTGAGCGATGTGCTTTTGAATTGGTTAAAACTCTTGCTTAAGGCTAGAGCCAATGAAAGGTCTGATATACTTTGAGGAATAGTGTGTAGGAGTTTCAACCATTATCAGCCTTCTTCAGAATTTTGCATTTTTCAGGTACCTTAAATTAGCTACACCCACATTCACGTTGTATCTGGTGCATGCTAGAATCCAGTGTAATCCAGTCTGCTGGAAAGGTTGAGATGACATCTTGTAATAGCAAACGGTGAGGCTGCTTCACCTGAGTTTGTGTTTTTCGTCTTGTCTCTCATACCACTATTCATTTTTCATGCTCATTATATATACAACTCTAGCTGCAGGAAGAGTTTTATTTGCTCTCACAGAGAAGAGCACTTGAGGCCTAATTACCCATATAGCCTTCCTTTCCCTTCCCATTAATAAGACTAATCATGCTCTAACACCGCTATTATGCCTCCAGCGAGAAGTCCATCTTTGTTCCAGCACCTCCACGTTTGGCTTTCCCGTTGTCCCTGTGAGCATTTGCAGGTGGTGACCACAACACAAGTGCTTCAAATGCAATATTGCTTCGTCAGAAATATTTCAGAGCTAAGATGACCCACATTTTATTAAATTTGTGAGCCGTCGTTAGATTTTATTACACTAAAGGAGCCTGGACTTTGCGGAATTTTGAGCAAGAGATTTTGGCCTAAATAATTTTCAGTGCTGACTTGAAAATTGGTTAATTTTTACAGATTTTAGTATTTCCAAAGCTATCACCACTCAGACTTTCCAGCCCAATTACCCAAGGAGGGGAGGACGGGGATAACTTCAATGGACTTTTTGTTAGGGACCATAAAGGTACCCCTCTTTGCCACTGGTCGAGGAAGAATATAATGAGCCTTTCTTTGAATTTCTCATGATTGAGGATTCTGAAAGTTCTTGAAGGGGTGAGTGAATGTAAGAAAAATGTGTCAGTATTAAATTTGTTGCTCTCATTTCTCATTGCTATAATTTATCCCTTTTATTCAGAACAAAATCTTTTTCA